AGTGGGACCAAAGTGGGACCTTTGGTTCCACTGGAACCACTTTAACCTTTGGCTCCGGAACATTGCCATTAGGGATCGTAAGGCATGATTAGTTGGATTTGGTGAACATGGCCATAATCGTTCGCAAAGCTTCAGTTTACCTACCACTTTTTGAAACCCTGTATGTTAATACTAGTTTTCAAGAAATCGACTACATAAAGCTCATATTTGCCGATGAGGTTAGGCCCTGGCAAGTCATTCATGGTTAGAATGACGGAAATGTCCTTCAAAGTTATCAGTACCGACTGTAGAACTGATCTAAGCGTACAAAAATGTGTCTTGCCCAACCCGCCTACAATAAACTACCACTCGGATGACAGCATGAGGGCATTATACGTGCGATATAACCAACATCCCATAACATCTTGGTAAAAGGATCTTCGGTATTTGGATACATGGCAAAAGGAAACTACCATTGCAATTAACGAGACCGCAACAAACACTAAGCAACCCAAACATGGGTTTGTAGCTCTAGGCAATGACCATTGTCGGAAAACGTAGAGCGCCATTGCTCGCTCTAACATAGAATACGGCATGCGGTTGAACCTGCCTTCATGAGTTTCATCGGTTTCGACACCGCACTCGTCATTTGAAAGGCTCGTCTTGCGAAACGTAGTCAATCAAACTGCATCAGCTCACTGATTGGCTGCAGGCGACCGATGACTCACGCCCTGGGATGACCCGTAGGCAAACACAGGTACACGTACATGCGCTGACAACTCGTAAGCTGAGCGGAAACTTGTCAATCGAAAAAAATCTTATGCGAGTGGCTCGCTCGTTACCTAAAATGCTCGTCACCAGATGCTCCACTGTACAAGCATGGAGATCCTGGATTTCAAGAGGGAAAATAATCCGCAAAAAGTGTGAAGTGGAGCGGTAAAGCTCGTACAAGTTTCAAGACGCTCTTCTTTTCTAGAAATACTGAGATACGTTAACATAGCCTCTCTGCTTTGCAGGCAGGAAAGGGTGGTCTTATTTTGGTTTACAGGATAATACCTGATTCTGAGTAAGAAATTGGTTTTGGGAATCTGTTTCAGTGACAACTTTCGCTTCTTCTTCGTGGGTGCTCAATGTCAATACGCACGAATATGCCAGGTTTGAGGCTTCCGTGAGAATACTTAATAAAATAGATAGTGACCACTTTTTTATTCGAGACATTGAACTTGAGATAATGTTCACGTTATATTCACGCATACAGTTTCTTTAAATTTCAGACTGCTTAAACTATATGGATATTACTTCAGCTTTGACAGTTTATTCAGAATTCATATATCGCCATCTATTAAAAACCGACATATAGAAAACAGGCACTTTTAAGGCTTCGCCTTTTAATTTTAACAATAAAATAATTGGATTTTAAACGGGATATTCCTGTTTGTATTGGTACCTGGTTCTACCAAACCTTGAAAAAAACGCGCCAGGAAACCGATGCCCTGTTCTTTAAATGAACATTTTTTGCTGATGTCCGGAAACATACAAGTTCATAATTATGTCTGTTCCATAGATACAAACGGTTTTTTGGTCTTTAGGGTGATCTTCCTGTACTCTAAAAAGGTATCTTCTCTGAAATTTAAGTTGCAGTCGATGACGCGCTCGTATTTCTGCCGGATTGAATTCCAAAAGTCATTTTATTTCAGTTACCTGGTTGACCGGAAGTAAACTCAAAATGTCTCTTGAGGGTATCTTCAAGATTCATACAGAAGAAAAATAATTCATTAACAAGATGTACAAATATACATACATATGCATAAGATTCAGCTTTTATTCACCCTGATATCTCGGACACATGGGAGATGAGAATGAAAAAGGACATTCACCTGAGTTTCTGGAGAATTAAAATGTGGATACAGAACTATCAAAAATACTGAAAACCTCAACGGGATAGGCGTCCGTACCTTGCATGCAGATGACACTGTTATTTCAAAAATTCCGATGGCACAATTTGAAATTTGGTGAAATGCGATGACCAAGGGTATGAAACTAAAGAAAATAAATAAAAAGGGTATTATTGTTGATCGACATGCAAACTCTCTGGTGCCAAACGTAGAATGCAATCAATCGCCCCAAACGCAGCCTATTAATATATAAGTTGCTAACGCAAGTAAAAGCAAGCTCAGGAAACGTGTAGGCACGAATTATCCTGGTCATGCAACATCTGAACACAAAGTATGAGGAAGAGAGAACGTTTAGTTGATTTCTGAGTCTACTGCACGAAAGTTGCAACCGCAACTGCAACTATTGCAAACCAGGCAAGGAACAAAACCCCTTCTGAAGTTGGCAAGTCAGGTCAGAGATCGAAGGACAGAAGGGGAAGCTCTTTTGAACATGAAGACGTTTTAACCCAGCGACTGGGAAAGACGTTGTTTCGGCGTCTCAAAAAATCGATTGAGGATTCGCAACCCATAGACAGTTCACCAAAACATATATATATCAATGAATCGGCTACTAGTTTTTGTGATGCACAGCCTATTCTGTGATCACAAGCTTGTAAACGGTTAGGGAGACTCAACTTCTACGCTACTTTTTGTAGAAAAACAAAACATTTATTTCAGATACCCAAGTAGACCAACGACTTTCCGGGTTAAATCCCATAAAAGCAACTGGTACGTGAGCTGTTTAAAAATGGTATGACGTCTATAATGCCAAATACTTCTTATGCAGACGACTTTGTGCCAATGATTTCGTTTACCTAAGGACCCTGTTGACGATGTGTGATGCTTATCAGGAAGAAGAACTCCAGACCCTGGGATCTCGAGTGCTGCGCTCAGCTCACTCATCGGCTAGGCGCTGTGAAAGAACACCAGATCTCTGGTGTTAAGTGGAGAACGTTTCGCGGAGGGATTACTTCCTCAATCCTGTTTTTTCATTAGTCGAGCTCCGGCTTCCTTTCATCCACACACACTTAAGTCATTTAACCACCACATTACTGTCTCTCTTTCCACCAAACTTACCATATATCTCTCCTTTATAATTTTTTCACTCCTCTTAGTAATATTCCTACCAGATAATATATGTGTACAATTGGACATGCTTGCTTACAATTTGCTGCCAACGATGACTCGCCGCTGCGTCTTAGTAAGGTTGAAAAGTCCTCCCAAAGACCGCGCGGTCGGACGCACTAACGCCATTGTGGGGGAGCGGCCGGGGGTTTGGAGGCAGGCCTGCGGAGAATCTTGGTTCCGGCACGTATCGATTGCCCATAGCCAGCTTTTTGGCCTGTTCCTCGAGAGGGTTGTTGCGGATGCCCAGGCGAGAGAACTGCTGCGATTGCAGGACGG